CAGTTGTGCTGGGCATTTCTTCAGCATGTAAGAAACAGCTTAATGTGGATTATCAGCAGAGCAAGTATCAGGAGTGAGCTTGGAAATGGGATATTTCCTCCAAGAGAGTTTTGCCTGTGATCTCAGGAGGCTCCAAGGCACACATCAGGCTGCTCTGTACCTCCTCTACATTCTTTTCTGGGAGAGTTTCCTTTACTTTGCCCATCTCTCCTCCAGTTTGCCAGGACAGTGTCAGTGACAAAAGAGCGATGGGCCCAGCAAGTGGGGTTTTTATTGTAAAATTGTAAAATCACAACTGCCTCGAGTCTTCCTTCCTCCCATTCCTGGGCCTAAATTAAGCCGGTGCTTAACTCCCCCCTTGCGTTGCTCAGCCGGTGGCAACGTTGTGTCTCTGCTGCTCCCCCGGGGCTGTGGGCTCAGCTCTGGCTCTGAGCTCAGGTTTGCTCACTCTGGTTCTGAGCTCAGGTTTGCTCACTCTGGTTCTGAGCTCAGGTTTGCTCACTCTGGCTCTGAGCTCAGGTTTGCTCACTCTGGCTCTGACTCTGAGCTCAGGTTTGCTCACTCTGGCTCTGACTCTGAGCTCAGGTTTGCTCACTCTGGTTCTGAGCTCAGGTTTGCTCTCTCTGGGTCTGAGCTCAGGTTTGCTCTCTCTGGTTCTGAGCTCAGGTTTGCTCTCTCTGGTTCTGAGCTCAGGTTTGCTCACTGTGGTTCTGAGCTCAGGTTTGCTCTCTCTGGTTCTGAGCTCAGGTTTGCTCACTGTGGTTCTGAGCTCAGGTTTGCTCTCTCTGGCTCTGAGCTCAGGTTTGCTCACTCTGGTTCTGAGCTCAGGTTTGCTCTCTCTGGGTCTGAGCTCAGGTTTGCTCTCTCTGGCTCTGAGCTCAGGTTTGCTCACTCGGGTGCCTCTGGTTCCCCGCAGGTGCAGTTGGAGCGGATCCGACAGGCAGATTCCCTGGAGAGAATCCGTGCAATCCTGAACGACACAAAACTGACGGACATTAACCAGCTCCCTGAAACATGACACCCTGCGGGGGCAGCTCCGAGGCCGCGTCGGGGGTTTTTAACTCATCTTTATAGCAACATTAATTATTATTTAACTCTAACCGAAAGAGCAGAAGACAACAGAGGGGAGCGATGGCTTAAGTTTTGTTTCTAGAGAGGGGAAGAAAAAGGTTTCGTACTGGGCAGGAAGAGAGAGCACAAGGGTGACTTGCAGTGTAGGAAGGAGAACTTTCTAATGGAAACACTAATGAGTGCAGTGTTTCGTGTTCCACTGAGTGGGATCAGTCCTTACATTCTGAAAAACTTCCCTCTTTCAGCCGACTTCGTAACCTAATATAGAGTTTTGGAACATTTACCCCTGTCTTTCCCTCTGTCCTTTCCCCCACTACTGTGATCAAAGTAGCTGCTGGAAACCGTATTGTCCCTCCAAAACGTTGAAGAGCAAAGTGGTTGAAGTTTTTCTGTTTGAATAGTCAGTAACAGTATTCAGCTAGCAGAGAGAATGAGGTGTAGAGTATGCTGTATGAATATTTTATATTAAAATATGAATTTATTAGCAGGACACTGGATATTGACCTTATTTCATAACTCAGTACTTCTTTTTTTTTTTTTTTTTTAAAAAACCATTGGCTCTGTGAAGAATCTGAATGCTGCTGAAACGTGGATGTGAGTGAACTGTGTCTCTCCTGGACAGATAAATGCTAATCCAAAAGAAAATGAAAACTGTACTGAGAATTTATCTCCTTGCCATTTTTCTGTTGAACTCAGATACTGAAAGAAAAGCACAAGAAATGCACTGTTTTGTAATCTCTTCTCACAAATGTAAATCAGAATATGGAGCTACAACCGGTTGTTTCTCATCTCTAAAGCTGAGCAGTACCTGGAGTCCCTTCTCTGGGGGGAAAAAACCCCACAAAACCAAACAAAAAATCCCAAACAAACAAAAAGCTGGTAAAAGTCCTGTGCAGTGTGTGAGCACTGGCACGAGGTGATGCAGGTCTGCTCTGCTCGGGTGGGTGACACCGGGTGTAGGGCCAGGAGGGGTCAAGGGAAGGTGCTGTTCTGGGTCAGCCTCCTGCTAACAGGGATTCCTTCACTCCCAAGTCAGGACATGAATGTGCAGGAGCTGCAGGATTGTGCTGGTGCAGCTCCTGGGTGAGCTCTGGTGTCAGGGCACTGCTCAGAGGGGACTGTCACACGTTTCTGTACCCAGACATTTAAATGACACTGAATTCTGGTGAGCAGTTTGGGTTTCTTGTTCTATAAATGTCCAGGGGTAACGTGACCATTCCTCCTCCTCCAGCTGCTGGAGTTCCATACACACAGCTGGATGGTTTCCTGTGTGGTTGCAGGTGTTGATGCTGGTGGTGCAAACCCAGTTGTTAAGAATGGCCCCTACTTAAACCTCAGTTAAAAGGAGGAGGCTGAAGGAGCAGATCACACTGTCCAAAACTTCTTGGACTTTCCTCCATTCCTTACTGTTTTTTCTTTATGTCCTTGGTCAGAAATCTGCTTTTCTTTGTCACCTTCAAAAGTGACAGAAGATGCTCCAAACTGCAATGCACATGACTATATTTTAAGTGCTTAAATCCTATTTTTAGCAGTGTATATCCTGCTACTGACACAAAGTCAGAAGTGGTGGTTTTGAAGAGGAATGCCTTAAAAGCAGCCAAAAAGCAGCATACAAGCTCAATTCCTTGTCACTCCCTGCAAGAATTAAAGCATTTTATCCACCCTAGTGATTAATCCCCTTCATAATCCTGACACCCAAAAGCCATTTTTCCCACCTTAGTAATGACTAGACTAACAGATGACAGATGTCATCTTCTTAAGATGACACTTAATTTCACATTAAAGTGACATTGAAGTGTGACTTGGGTCTTTAGTATTTGGCTATTACCAGATTATGGGTTTTTTAACCTTTCTCACTCTGTGTTGAGCTGAGGGTGACAGCAGCTGGGTCCTGATGCAGAAATCCAGTACCAGGTGTTCTGCATTCAGTTTTCCAGTGGTTGGGGTCCTGTTGTGTTGGATAAACTTTGGAGACAAAAATGCAGGCCTTTAGTAGGAGCTGCAGAATGAGGTTTTCCTCTGTTCCCCCCTTCCCTTCCCAAAAACTAAGGTGTAACTGGTTACTGAGTTAGTTACTGTAGCTGGTGGCACTTCACCTGTGCAGTGGGGGTAAGGAAGCCTCTTGTGTGGCAAAACTACACCACCTCCTGTACCCTCTTGAGCAACTTGAGGAACTGCACCTCGAGGACTTGCACAGTAGAAGGATTTTTGGTTGAGTTTCTGGACTGTCCCAGTGTGAGAGAGCAAGGGCAGGGCCTGTTACTGGTCTTGCAGCACCCCTTACTGGCCTGTGCTCAGCAGCCCTGCTCTGAACAGCCTGGGTTGGATGGTTTCAGATGGTCCAGGCCTGGTGTGGCTTTTCCTTGGCTGTGTTTTTACAGACTGTTTAACGGGGGTGGTGTCAGCCTGAGGTGGTGGCTGCAGCCGGGGGGGAAGGAGGTGAGTGGGCAAGTGGTTTGGGCTCCTTAGTAGCCACAGTACCAGTGTAGCTGTTGCCAAATGCAGCTCTGCCTGCCTGGGGTGTGAGTGTGGAGGGTGTGTGTGTGTGTTTCTTGCTTGTGAACCAGGCACAGTTTGAGTGTGTGGAGGAACTTCCTTTCTGTTTGGAGAGGACGGGCAGAGAATCCTTGCATGGTTGTTTTCCTTCTCACCACCTTATTCCATCCCGAGCCTGCACACCTGTTCTCCTGGGTCAGTACATGTGGCCATTTTAGCTTTGGAACACGAGTCAGCTTTTTCACCAGCTGGTGTTTAACTTCAGATCAGACCTTTTAAGCCGTTTAATGTTGAAATTGGAAGCCTGGCTGTTCCCAGCAGTGGTGGGAGATGTGCTCCCTGCAAACAGCTTTTCCCCCCTGGGGAAGGACAGCACAGCTTCAGCAGCAGCAACTCTGAGCTTCTGCTGAACTCTAATTTCATAAAGGGGCCTTTAAAAACCAAACAATACAGTGTGTGCCAAATGTGCAGAGCAAATTGTAAATGAAGTGTAGTAAAACTCTTGGTGTTGATACTCACTGGGTGATGGATTATGGTGTTTACTGCTCATAGACATGAGAAAAGAGATGCTCTTCCTTCCAGGTCTGGGTGTTCTGGAGCGTGGTTGGGGTCAGGGGAGGGTTCTCCCCACTCCAGCACTGCTTTGTAACCAGGTCAGCTGCGATCCACGGGGTGAGTGGGTGGTGTGGGCTGTGACAGGGGCGAGATCGAGGTCTGTCTGCATTCCTGTACCTGTATAGTCTTAATCTGTACAAAAGTGTTCTTGCAGCATGTCAGGTAACCCTGTTCCCCCCGGGTGTACCAGCCCTCCCTCCCCAGCAGCTTCCCCGGCCCCCCCTGCTGTGTCAGCAGTGCAGTAACTCCCCTTCAAACCTGAGCTTGACCTGTCGCCTTTTCTAAGGGGAAGGGGGGAGGGACAACAACTATTTATTGTCCACTAGAGTCTGTCTACAGCAGATACTGAATTGGCCTTTCAATGTCAAGAGGGACTCCAGAGCCATCTTTTGCTCAAGGCAAACTGTTTGGAAGTTAATACTGCATTCCAGTGAGCCAAGCCATTGGTGTCCTGTGCAATCGTGGGTGTAGAATTCTGCTGTCTCCAGGATTCCAGTGTAACCATTTGTTAACTGTATTGAAGGTGTGTCCTCTATGGAGAAAGTGTTCCAAATTAAAAAAAGCTGCTGAAGTGTGTGTGTGCACTGCTCTGGTCTTTCTCCTCTGCCTCCTTGCCACAGGCCTTCCCCTGGGCACCCCTCCTGGAGCACAGGTGGGAGACTGTCCCAGGATAACCCCAGGGAGCTTTCTGAAGGCAGCAGCAATCCCCCACTCCTGAGGTAGCTGCAGGTGTGACACTGCAACAGACTGAATATAAAGCACCTGCTGCACCATCCCCTTTCCCAGGAGGAAAGCAAAAAACCATGGCACATCAGGAGTCTTATCAAAAGTATTTTATTTCACAGTTCTTTACAAAATAATAAGCAAAAGGCATATTGTTCAACATACAAATGGTAAATGTACAAGGGGAAATACCAGGTAAAGCTGCTCCAGCCTTTCGGTGCAGGAAGACACGTTAGAAGTTCACGTGGCTTCTGATGTCATTGATCTGCTTCACCATCTCCCTGATGTGTTCTCCCCTTCAAGGAAAAACAATCCAAGTTAAAACGCTGCAGGTCACGTTTGCTCATAAGTAATCAGGAAGGGAAACACTCCAGGTGGTAGAAGGAGGGAATGGAAACAGTGCTGCAAGTTGTTCTGTAATCCCAGGCTGGACACAGAGTGCCCAGGATCCAGGGGCAAGCAGCACTTTAAGCAGATGTATTTAAGTGCTGCTCTCAGAGCTTCAGTCCATCTGCCCCACCCCCAGCTGGTGCCTCAGACCCTCCCCAGCCCCTCAGCAGAGCTCCAGTGACACCCCAGACACCTGAACTGCTCCTGGCAGTGCTGGGGCCCGGATTCCACAGGAGCCAAGTGGAACTTACTCCTCTCTGAGGACAGTTTGGATGCACTTGCTCTGGTAGGCACTGAGGCTGATGCTGGGCTTGCGAGGGCTGAGCCCCTTCTCCATCTGCTTCTGCTGGTATTCCTTTTTCATTTTCACCTGGAAGGTACAGAAAGGAGGGCCCCAGTCAGTGCTGGTCTCTCCTGCCACAGTGAAAGCTTGTTAGTTACAGACTGGTGTGTTGTACTGCAATGAACTGGTTCTTTTTGGGTTAAAATCTGCCTGCATTTGCACTCTTCCTTCTGCAAAGAGAAGAAATGTCCCTGCCAAGGCTGAGGACGGGGGAGCTCTCTGTCTGTATTACCAACAAGACACACAGACCCTTCAGTACATTGCTGGTAATTAACACAAGTACAAACTGCTCTGTTGGCAGGACTGTTCTGTCAGCACTGAGTGAGGAGCTGCCAATAACCCACCAGCCTGGGCCATCCTCCCCTCACCTGTCTGATGGCATTGCTCAGGTGCTGCAGCTGGTCATGAATTGTCTGCAGTTCCTTCTTCATATCTTTTTCAGTGTCAGATAGAACAGGAAGCTGAGAGTGGAAACTCCGAAGGACTTTCTTCATCCTTGATGCACAAAGCAAGAAATGGTGCTGAATTAACTTCCCTGGTAGCCCAGTTATCCTAAACCCCTGCAGCCTGGTGCTGTATCACACTGCCCAAGTGTCTTCCCCTTCAGCTGGTCTCATGTGGCACTTGTGAGCTGGCTGGCTCAGGCTGGGCCTGCGGGTGGACTGACAAATCCCCACAGGGAATTTCAGAAGCCCAGTCTCGTAACAAACCCGTGCAGCACCTTCTGCCCCCTCTGTTCTGCCACAGCAGCAGAGCTGTGTGTCCCAGGGAGGGCTGGGTGCTGAGCCCTGTGTGCACTCACCTGTTCATGATGTCTTCCTGCTTCTCTTTGGCCTCTTCGTACTTGTCTGCCAAGCGCTCGGCCATTTCCCGCAGACTTTTCCTTCATGCAAGTGAGAAACGTTTTATTTCCTTCAGATTTACACACAGAGGTGCATCATTCCCACTGCTGGACTTGGTAAAAGCAGACAGGTTCTACTCACCTCTCCTCTCGGCAGTAATTCAGATCTTCCAGTTGTTTCTTTTTCTGTCCCCACAGCAGCTTCACTCTTAAAATAAACACATTAAAAAAAACCAAAATCAAACCATCTGTGAAGAGATGAATCAGGATTTACAGCACACAGAAAATGCTGGGAGTAGGAAGAACTACAGACACTGTAAAAGGGGCAGTGGTGAGAACTAACTCTTCCATTTTGTCCTAACTGTACAGCATAAATAACTATGATGTGAAACAACAGAGTCTCAAGGCAGTTTTCCTCTGCCAGGGTTAGTGCTGAGGTCAGATTTCCTGCCCCCCTGCACTGGCACACTGACAGCAGCCAGAGAAGTATTTCATTTTCTTTCCCCTACAAGCCACTACAGAGATCAAGTGTTACACTTCACCCCTGCTTTCCCTGGTAACTCAATGTCCAGTTCTAGTAGTCCAGTATTACTCTTGCATTTATCACATTTACTCACACAAGGATTAGCCCCTCAGAGGAGGGTGAGTGCTCAGCACTTTGCACTTCTGTGTCACAGGGATGTTGCCCAGCACATCTTTATGAGGGTCTTGCATTACCTTTGCTGGATTTCCTCTTTTGCCAGGTCCTGTTTCAGGATATATTCCTCTCTGAACACCTGTGTGGCTCTGCTGAGGAGCTGAAGGCATTCCTCAGGGGGAGGGGCAGCATCTTTATCTGCAGACCTAAAGAATAAGAGAGGTTTTTGCAATCTTACTCTAACATGTTCCTCTGAAAGGCTAAACCACTTCCAGTGTTTATGGTAAGGCTCAAAGGAATTTGGTTATGGAAGTGAGGGATTACAATTAAATGCCTTTGCTAGAAGTAATTTTTCTTGTGTGAGGAAATCCCAGGGTATCCCAGGATACTCCAAACCCAACGGGCCAAGTGATGAGCAACCTCATCAGCCAAGGGCAGCCCTGCTTGGGGCAGGGGACTGGAGCAAGGTGATCCCCCTCCCAGCTCCATCATCACTGGACTGGATGCCATTCCTGTATGGACGGAAGCAGCAGGAGCTGTACCCCATCCCTGCCATGTCCAAGCCAATGTGCTGTTCCATCAGGAGCTGATGAACACACACTGTTCTCTCTTTAGGTGGCCCAGGAACTCATCTTTGCTCACTTGAGGTGCAGGGGGTTGGCAGAGCTGCGCTGCAGGATGCCCTGGATGTGCTTCTCAAAGGAATGCTCCGACTCGGCCACGATGCGGAGCGGGGACACGGCCGGGTCCTTGTCCTCCCTGGTGCAGAGCAGGGGAGGGGACGCAGGATGGACTGTGCTCCTACCACAGAACAGCACAGGAGAGCACAGTTAAACCACAAACACAAACTATGGCAGAGTTAAACTGGTAAAGTGAGGAACTCGTCCACCAGGGAACTTCTGTGTCACACCAGGGGGTTCTGAGAGAAACTATTTCAATTCTGTGGTAAATCCAGGCCTGGAGCAGGTTGGTGGAGCTCCCACTCCCACAGCTCCCTGTTTGGAGCAGGAATCATAAACATCCTTTGACTCAAGGATAAGGAAGTTCCAGAACAAGGCAAGCAAGTGCTGGAACAGCAGTGACCTGCCAGGTCACTGCCCACTGGTGTGGAAATAGTGAAATAAATGAAATGTCTGTAGGAGAACCTGACATTAATACTGGCTCTGCTGATGGTGCCTGTCCTACATTAAAGAAGCTGAAAACAGTGCCCTCCCCTCAAGGTGTACATTTAATTCTCCAAATGCACATTTATCACACCACTCTGTATCTTTGCCACCACCTCCAAACAAAGCAACTTTGGAAGCACATACTGAAATCCCACTTTCACCCCTCCAAGCAAACATAACCTTGTTGCCCATTAGGAATCTCTACACACTGTCTGTAAACGAGGTTTTAACTTGCAGATTCCTTATTATAAACATGAAGAGAAAGAACCAAAGAGTAATGAAAAACAGTGATGTCCTGAGGTCCTTTCCATGTGCAGCTGCCATGGACTTCAAACCAATTCAGAACCACTTACAAGAGAGGCCTGGTAATACACTCATAGGTGTTGGTGATGCAGATCATTGTGGGCCCCAGGATGTCAGAAACGATCCAAAATCCTCTGATGGGAGCAGGCTGCCTGAAGGGAAGAAAACACAAGAATTACCCAGTCAGCAAAGTTCTCTGTTCATCAAGTTGTGCACATTCACTCTTGGAAAAGCTCCAGGGAAATGGAAGTGAAAATTTCTGCTGGTCTGACAGGTGATTTTCAGACAGTATCACAGGAATTTAAGCTACTTCCCTAACTCTGCATTAAGAATCCTGACACACAAATTGCTTACTTGTATTATTTGAATTCTTCTGAGCTAACTTTATTACTTTAATGGCAAGAATGCAGCAAAAGGTGAAAAATCATAAATATTTTCCATAGCAACTCCCTGATTTGAAAGCAATTGAGAAAGGGTTTGGTTTTTACCTGCATGGCAATGGTTTTGTACAAAGAATGTGTTCAACAAAGCACTTCTGTTCTGCTCCCAGCTCTTGTAAACTGTCTTTGTCTTCCTCATCTACACAGAGACATGTCAGAATGCATCAGATCCACTTGGCAGGGTAAGGAATTCAGTACTACCTGCATCCCCCAACCTGTCACTGGCAAAGTGCAGTTACTCCCTTCTCTCACTCACCTGAACCAAGGAATTTGTGCAGTTTATTGATCCATGTCAAGCCCACACTGTGGACACCAGCCTCGTGTGTGCAGTGGTATCTAGAGGGACATTTGGGATCTGAAATTTAAACAGCAAAGGTAAAAGAAGGCACTGAACTGAGAAAAACTCATCCTTCACCCCTGCACTGCTGAACATATGTATCAACTTATTGCCCAGTCAGTTGTGACATCCTGCAAGTTGGTACTTGCACCAGCAGCTGAGCTGGATGTGTGAGACACATTATTAGAGTTCTGTGTAAAATTAAATTACACTTGAAATACCTGATGAGTTGCCTATCACACCACATCTGTATCAATGCACTAGAGTTTAAAGGGAAGCTCAGCAGAAGCCAGCAGAGCAGTATTGTGACAAGCTCTGCTTGTCCACAAACACCCAAACTCTTTGTCCTGCCCCACAATTACACTGGATGATAAGCAGGTACTGGTGCTTCCCTCAGGATCACCCTCCCCACAACACTCACACACACACAGGTCAACACAGAATGCAGCAACTTCTACTTTATAACCCACAGCTGAAAGGATTTAGGACTACATGACCATGGGCAATGTGCTCTTGAGCAAACACTGAAGCCCCTCCCAGGCTTGCTCCTTCCACAGCTTTACTGAGGACATCAGATAAATCCTAACTCTAATCCCCCTCTCTGTTTGACACCAATAAGAATTTGGATCCTAAGTGCTTGGAATAAAGCAAGAAAAAGCCACAAGCTGAATGACAGCCCTACCTTGGTGCAGTTTGATTGGGCAAGTGAAGTCAGACTCCAAAGGATCATCTTCATCTCCTGTCGCCAGCTTCAGTGCAAGTTCCAGCTCGACACATTCAAACACGTACAGGGAAGGAATAAGATCAGATCGTGGGTCCCAGGACTTTTCTGACTGTAAAGAGCATTGAATTCTTTTGTGAGACATCATTTAAATTTGAAAGTAAACATTGACATAAACAGCATCAAGAAAGAGTTGCAAGGCAAGAGTATTAGTTGTCAGGGAAAGTAGTTCAAGTTCTTTTTTACTTAAAGAAAAATTTAACTCAAACCTAGGGTTTCTTCTTAGAAGATCTTCTTTAAATTAGTTCACAGTAAGTTTGATCAAAAATTGATCTACTGTCAGGGGACACAGGACTGAGATTTAAAATAAAAGCATCAGAGAACCACAGGGACTGGCTGGAACAGGAGAAAGACTCACTACCTCCTTCCCAAAGAATGCAGCTTTGGCACTTGGCACACACTTCCAGGCAACCAGGAACTTGGACTAAAGACACGAAACTGCCTATAGAAAACAACCAAGGTACCTGCTCATCGTCCTCTTCCCCATCCAGCACCACGCAGTGATACAGCATTCCCGACTCGGTGGCGATCACCAGGATGTTTGGGACACAGGGCAGGCACAGGACAGCACAGGCATCGTAGCCATAGTTATCCTCTGCAGCTGGATGCATGGGCAGGGGGCCCAGCAGCTTCCCAAGGCTGCCAGCACTGCAATAAACAGGATGTGTTTGCTCACAACACCAGGTGTGGAAGGAGACTTCCCCATGGCTGTCAAACAACCCCGTGGCTTGGAGTCCTAATTCCCACTAGCAGCAACCCAGACTTCCCTGGATTACAAATCTGACCTGCACCTCCCTGGTGGAGATTTCAGAGAGGAAACTGGAGCTCAGTAATAACATTTTATGCTTGGAAAGCAACCAAAGCTATAGTACAAAAAATTCATGAGGAAACATTTTCATATGAGAACAGAAAGTACTCATGGAAAGCTCAAGTTAAATAATTGGTTTCCTGCACTTCACAGGCAGCATTTTGTGTCATGGTGTTTCCCTCAGCAGCACTTTTGAAGGACTGAGCCCATTTCTTTGCCTGCAGACAGGATCTGCTCAGTGCTGATCCACTGCTCATGCAGAGGCACAGAGTGTTGTTTCTAACCCAAGTACCACACATTTTAATATTCAGCTACAGCAGGTCTAACCTGTGAACCTTCCACCATCTTCTCGATTTTCTGAAGTAATTTCTTCTTGTATCATGTTTATATTCTTGATTCATTTTCTTGACTTTTTATTCCAGGACATGCCTGTGAACCCTCTATGCTCTTCAAATATTTCTTTCCTAAGATATCCTTGGCTCAGTGAGCCTCATCCAAAGCTAAGGATGTCTGTGCTGTGACCTGACGGCCCTAAAATACATTTAACAGCCTTAGCCTCACTGATGTTTTCACAGTGCAGTGTCAGATCTCTGATGGCAAATAATGGACAGTGGATTCTCAGCAGTGAAAACTGTACCCTTAATGTCTGGTTGAGAAAGGATGACACACTGTTTTTGGATTTCAGTGCATTAGCACTGCCACAGAGACAGAACAGGCTGCAGTACAATAAAACACAACGTAGCATTCAACGGAGAGCCTCAGCCGAGCTGAGGTGGCTCGTTGTACAAACACCCCAGCACGCCGTGACCCTGAGTGTGCCCCTACCTCTGCAGCAGGCTGATGTAGGTGAGGAAGGTCTCTCCATTCTCATAGAGGATGTACAGGGGGTATCCCAACACCTCCTCGCTCCCCCGCTGCCCCA